CGGTCGATACTAGCATCATAACTATTGTTATATGAAAACTCTGCTAGGGGAGGTGTGTATCCCAACTCCATCCAAAGTCCAATACACATGCTCGAAGCACGTCCTCCAATGTCCGGATCGTCCTCTTGCTATGGCCATCTATTTCGCGGTGGTATGTCGTGCTGAAATGCAACTGAGTTCCCAGTTCCTTGTGGAACTTCCTCCAAAATATAGATGTAAATCGGATATCTTGGTCAGAGACCACCGACATTGGCACCCCATGCCTAACCACCACCTCTTGCACATAAATATCCGCGAATTTCTCAACGGAGATGTTCTCGGAGATCGGAATAAAATGGGCACTCTTTTTAAGCGTATCCACAATAACCCATATGGCATCCACACCCCTCGATGTCCTTGGTAACTTTGTGATGAAGTCCATAGTGATCTCCTCCCACTTTAACATGGGAATGGGTAGCGACTGAACCTTGCCATGAGGCCGCTAATGCTTGGCCTTGACCTTCCGGCAGGTCAAGCACCGCTCCACAAACCATGCAATCTCCCGCTTCATGCAGGGCCACCAGCAACTCAGTCTCAAGTCTCTATACATTTTTGTAGAGCCTGGATGTATAGAGAACTTGTACTTGTGTGCCTCCTCTAATATATTCTTCCTCACTCCTCCAGATTCTGGAGCCCACAAAGGAATATGTCCCTGTATCTGCCATAATTTCCAATTTTCTTTCTTCACACCCTCCATTTGAGCCTCCTTGATCATATCCAACAATGGAGAGATAACTTTCATTCTCAAACAATGTTCCCAATCGGGGAACACGCCGTCTTGAGGCTCAAAGCATCGATCACCACAATCATAAGCTTTCAGCATATCCAACCACCTCATATGTCGTATGTTTAGGTTCTGCCGATCAATCAAATACTTCAAACTTTTGTGGTTAGTGAAAATGGTGCACCGAACTCCATACAAAAAGTGCCTTAAAATCTTAAGAACAAACACCACTACCCCCAATTCCAGGTCGTGAGTGGGGTAGTTCGCCTCGTGAGGCTTCAACTTCCTTGAGGCGTAAACGATCACATGCCCTCTCTGCATCAATACGACGCCTAACCCCGAGATTGGCGCATCATATTACACTACCAAATCAGCCCCTCAAGTAGTACAAGAATTGGAGCTTCACATAACCTTTGTCCTAGGATCTCAAAAGCTAAATGTTGATCCGGGCCGCATTGAAATGTCACATTCTTCTTAGTTAGGCGGATCAAAGGTACCGCAATCTTGGAGAAATCCTAGATGAATTTCTGACAGTACCCCACTAGACCCAAGAAGATACGAATCGCAAATGCGTTCTTTGGTACTTCCCACTGCATCACTGCCTCAACCTTGGTTGGATCCACCTAAATACCATCCTGGTTGATGATGTGCCCCAAAGACTGCACCTCTCGCAACCATAATCCATATTATTATCATAATCCAAATATCAATATAACATGGCTAACATATTGGGGAACTACTTAATTGGCTCGGCCGATCACGCGCATTGCACTCTCCTCTTTTCCATTTTAAGAAGTTTTTAACTTTTATTTTTGAAAACAATTTTACCATTTACTTAGTTTGAGTTCTGACACACCCGAGAGTGTGCCCGAATCCCTCAAACCAAGGCTCTGATACCAACTTGTAATGACCCAACTTTTAAAAGAAAATTTTTTCATTTTTAAATAATCAAAACATTTCCAATCAACCATAAAATCTCATGAACAATTGTTTTCAAATTCACACATCAACAAATTTTATTTCAAAAATCAGAGTGTCCCATAAAAACTCCTTTGCGAGTGCATGTCATACTATCAAGCCTTTCCCTTGCCCTTTGGCTCAGAAGTACCTAAAACAAATCAAAAAATTGTAATCTAATGTTCAGTGAGTTCCACAGAGCATACCTGGCACAGTCCACATAAATCACATATATTATATTAGCTATAAAGCTACATAAACCACACAAGCCATGCATATAAACATATAGGGATGTCGTGGAAACCATCCAAGGTCTTACACCAAGTGCTATTGGAAACCCCCACGTGGTCTTGGCACACTATCATGGGAACCTCCACACGGTCTTCCTTAATCATAGAAATATCATACGAACTAAACATGTAAACACAATAGGAAGCAATGGAAACCCTCCAAGGACTTCTACCGAATCCCATAGGAACCTCCTCATGCTCTTCACAAATTGTCACGGGAACCCGCAGGGACTTCCATACAAGTTTGATAACGACATAACATATAATCAACTATCTATCCACACACACACACACACACACACACACACACACACATATATATATATATATATATCGACCTTGGTGCCTTGGCTCCAAATTATAGATCCAAGACCTTATGGTGTAGTTACCATGTAAAGTTGCAAACTTTACATGCATGCAAGGTCTCCCAAGGCTAAAACACTAAAACCAAGGTTCCTACAAGGTTTAGTGCATGGAAAAGAGCCTAAATTGGATAAATTGGACAACTTTATGTCCATGGGGGTCTAGAGGTGTCTAGATCTGGAACCATATCCTCATGACAAGTCCAAATCCGAGTATGGCATCATTTTGCCCCAAAAGTGACTATAATCTTTCATAAATTGAGATTTAAACAAATAAAGGTCAAGGTAGCAACTTTATACCTCAAGATGGTTGCCAATATAGAGTAGATGTCGGATCTACTGCTCCTCACTCTACTCTACCTTCTTCAAGCTTCAAAATCCTTCACAACCACACCAAAATCACTCACCAAAGGTGTCACACACACTCAAGGAGGTATAAGGCTCAAACTAGGGTTTCTCTGGGCAGTTAAGATAGTGAGGGAGGCCACAAATGGGCAATTACTAAACACTTAGCAAAAGACAATTAACAACTAAGGAGAAACAAAATATAACTAGATTGAATAAGATAAAGAGACTTTCATTTAAATTCGATTCACTTATTCCTATGGTTAATTTCATGACAAGCGCAATGGATTAAGATATCAATGGTTAGCGATTTCTAATAGGACTAGGTTCATGTTCACTATTACTAATCCTTTAACAAAAAGGTTAATTCAAGTAGTGATCAAGTGATTAAACTAACAAGTTTCCTAGTGTTCGCTTCGAATCAAGTAAGACTTGTAATATTAGTTAACTAAATTGATCATTCAATTAACTAATATACGGTTCACCATCACATATGCTCCCAGATTAACTTACTAGTTTTCTAGTTAACCCTAGGTTCATGTTCATTAATACTAGGCATACAATCTAGTTCTCACAAAACTATAAGATTCAAGCAATCAAGAAGATGTTTATACAACTCAATATACTTGTTTATTAATAGAAAATAATTATCATTAACACATAAGGTTATTTTAACAAGCTTAACAAGATCAATAACGAAATCTATATAATCCAAGCCACTCAATCAACCCATATTCATAAGATAATCCAGTCTAAACAGAAGTATGAAGTTTTTAGCTCATAACTACAACAAATAACATCCTAAACTTGTATGTAATGTAATAAACATGATTCAAAACAAAGATTAAGAGAAAAGTAATAGTTTAATTCCTTTGATCTCTTCAATTCCAAGCCGTTATTTGAATTTTGAAAACCACAACTTCTAAGAACCTATATGGCCTCCAAAAGTCGCTTAAAGCCTCCCACATTAGTTAGGGTTTTGGGAATAAACGATCTATATATAGATTCCAAAAATCAGCTGTAACTCGTCGAGTTTTTGGGAAACACTCGCCGATTTTTTTTTTACTTAAAACGTGTGTATGACAAGACACTAATTTAATAGAAATTTTCATCTGAACATGTCGAGTTTTTGGACCAAACTCGTCGATTTCGTTTGGAATCAACATTTTCTCAAAACATGAAAGTCGTCTTAAATTATGTCTAGTTTTCAAAACATTTTGAATATCGAATGTCGGGATTACAAGTCATGAGATATAGCCAAAACACCGATGAGAGGACAAGGTGTCCAATAACATCCTTCTTTCTTCAAAATCCAACATCCAAGCTTTCAATCGCCAATTTCGCTTTCTTTTCCTTCCGAGCATGTCTTTTTTGCTGAAATGAGATTTTAAACTAATGAAGTACCTTTTGTTCATTATTTTAGATAAAATTAACAAAAAGTATTAAGATAATGCATGAATTTTATAACTAAATATGCCCATAAAAGAGATATCAAAATGTTTTGGTACACAGTCAATTCCTTGAGTAAAAATCTAGAACAATAATTTGTTCACCGTCAATTCATTGAGTAAAATTCTAGAATAATAATTTGTTCACCGTTAATTCATTAAGGAGTGTTAGGTTATTTAACCTTGAAAGATCGATTAGATTCAAAACATATTAATAACAAGAACACGATAGTGGATCAAAATATGCTGAATGATTATAAGTCACAACCTCAAAAGAACTCGATGAAGAATTGCTATTGTAGAGGTGTGATTAGGGTTTCAAGAATATTACTAAAGTTACAAAACACGATGCATGAATGCACCTTGAATACTATAACCCTAGAAATAAATGACGAGTGGATAGGCCCAACCCGATTACAAAATGAACAAAATAAAAGGCTCGGTGATGCAACAAAATATACCTAACAATCTCCCTCTTTTCAGCTATTGAGGCGAGAATCCATGAAGTTTGAGTTCGCTTCTGCACTTTAAAAACTTTTGGAATTACGCTTAGCAGAACCTTGTGAACCTGGATGTACCATTGGACCATATCTAAAAAGCACTTTTTGTCTCACTTGCTGTTGGCCTTGTATTTGTTAACCATGTCTAAAATATATTCTAGGCAATAGGTAGCGTACAAATGTTTATAAGGGAGAAAGAAACAGGCCTTGTGAAAGACTGCATCGTTTTTTTCTCGCACCTAAAATAACACATACCATCCTTCCTTGTATATCTTCCCATGCTTCAACTTCTCAAAACATTCTGGGGTTTATTTGGGGAGAACAGGGGGATTCCTTCATAGTACAACAACTATTTTCACATCCATTTTACCCACCTTTTGAACATACGAAACTATCATCAGTTTGAGGTGAGCAATAACGGGCTCATACTTTTTTTTTCCATATTTCAACAGTAAATTGTAGAGCATGATCCAGTCATAGGGATTGAGGCAGGGCAGGTCAGCGAGAGTGAATTCATGAACCCGACTAGCAGAACCTCTCACAACCTTGAACTTCGCATTTGGGAAGCTGTCTATTTCGATTGGATCTGTGACTTTTACTGCAGTAATCTTGCCAGCACTCCACGTTTCGTATTGTGGCTTCATATGCTTGAGATAGAATGAGAAGAGCGAGTGATCAGCTCCGCTATCAGTGGAAGGGACATTCGCTACTTTCACAAAAGAACGAAACTTGAAGGCTTTTGGAGTTAATGGGAGATCCAACTGTGAATCTTGTGTATTTTGAAGCTTGAATGACACAACTGGTTCTAGCCAAATTTGACTTGGCATATCCACAAATCCGTTCTGAATATGATTCACGCTCTACTTTGTCTTTCACATCAGCCTCGCGGATTATTCTTTGGTGCTCATCCATTTCTGCTTCATGTGCTTTTCTCCTTTTGAGCTCATTTTCATCAGGCTCGTCGTCTTCACTATTGTCAACAATAGGTTCTTTATTGAAAAGTTTTTCTTTGCCTTTAAGCTTAGATTCACTTTTGACAATGGGATTGGCTAAAGGTTTAGGGTCTTCCTTCTTGGATTGTGACACACCTTCTCCCCCTTTTTTTTGGAATGGAGCTAGGTTGCAGAATACCTTCCAATCTATGGAGTATGGCGAAGACCTGCCTTAGTTTCTCAGCAAGTTGCTTCTTCACCGTAATCGTAATCATTGAGTCACGAGTCTCAATGATATCCGAAAGCATGGCAATAACGTCTGTGATATAGCTTTTCATAGTTTCCATTTCGGATAACAAATCATTGACTTGTTTCTCAACATTCTCGAGTTTGACGGTCAAGACTTTCACCTTTTTAGTCTTGACAGCAAGAGCATCCATTATTTCTCTCTCCATTATGAGATCATCTTGAAGCTTATATATTTGCAAGGAGATGGATGACTGGAACTCATCATGGTCAGATTTAAGACCAGTGCAAACCTCTTGAAGTTTCTCCTTCTCAGTTTTAAGGGTTGAGCCCAGGCTAGAAATGACTTCGTTAGCCTTCGCAGAAGCATCTACCACCTTGTTCATCTTTTCAAGGTTGGTGGAGTGCTCTTTCATAAGAGTCTCAAGAAGAGACTTGATTGTTGCTTGAGAATAATCATCAGTGGATGATGCTTTTGAAACGTGAAGCAGCGAGTCTAGTTTTTCATCTATTGCATTGATTTTCCCTCTTGTGATGGGAGCTTCGTCATCACTTTTAGTCCTGATGTTGAATAGACTGTAGGTGAATCTTGCGAAGTCTTCATCATCACCAACAATCATATCTAGATCATTTTGGCGAAGAGGTGAAATGAGTGGAGTGGAGTGACCAGTTGTGAAACCTGATGCTCTTGCTCCCGCATCAGATGCGTTGACAGAAACAGGACGCTTAATAGTTGTTGATGGTGTGGTGGTGGAATCGGTGAAAATTGGTGTGGGTTGCAAAACACCTAATGAGACAGGTGGGCATGAAGCAATAGAGATTGGTATGGAAATATTGGTAGTAGGATAAGGAATAGAGACAGTCTCAATGAAATCAGTGGAGATAGGAACTGAGATAGGAAGGTGAATAGTTACCTCAGGATTCGTGGAAATTGGTTGTGAGTTCTCAGGTTGTAAAGTTGTTGCAATGTCTTCATTTTTGGACAGGCCCATCCCCTTCAATGTGAATGTATGATTGAGTGTCAGATTGAAAATGTTCACTTTCACTAGGAGTTGGAGATCTGGGCTTGCGAGCTACTTTCTTTATCTTTCACTTCTTTCGTGGAGTAGGAGCTGCTGCAGATGAGCCAGCCTGTGTCTTTCGTTTCTTGGGGGTTTTAGTAGGTTCAGATAGACCCTCTTTATCACTTTGTTTCTTTTCTCCTTTCTTGTATCCTTTATGCCATCCTTTCTTTGGTTTGTCGACTTCACCAATGATCGATTGCATCTCAGGAGTTAAGGGACGAAAACCTAGAATTGTCTGTTGGCCTTCGAGAATTTTACTACCAGATGGTACATCACGAAGCATGGCTTCAAGAATCGAGCCAACAAGTATGAACTTAGAGTTGTTAGCAAGAATAATGCTAGTAGTGTGAAAGGTTGAAATAGTTTCCATCATCAAACCTTGCATAACTGGAATTTGAAGCTTGTAGATTGCCCTTTGAGTAATGATAGTCCAGAAACATGCATAGGAAATTTCCATGTGACGAGTAGTAGAATGGGTGCTTTGAATAACTTGTGCCCATAACAACACCAAAATCAATGTTGATCCATGTGTAAATCCCATAGATGATCTCCATAAAAAGCTTACTGTCACAATCCGATCCCGTTACCCATTTAGAGAAAGCCTTGAATAATATGGTAAAGAGCCCATTCCACTGTGGCGGCAAGTTAGGTTTTCTGAACTTTGAAACGGCGATTAGGGTTTCCTTGTATACCATTTGTAGAACATTTCCAAGATGGCTGAGTTAGAGACAGATTCAGGATCAATCATGTCATCTGATTGAGCAAGCCCAAGGGTTGAGCAAAAGCGATATTTGGTGATAGAGGTTGTTCTGTTGAGTGCTTCAAAAGTGATTCTATGTTATTCCTTGAGATAACTTGTAGAGGAGTAAGCTTTTGATAGAAGAGACTTCGGAACGCTTTCCGTCTTAGTCGAACCAGTAATTAGTGGAGATTACTTCAGGCATTCAACAATAGGAAGAAGATAACTTTGATAGTTGTAAGGATCAAGATTGATCACCAGGTTTTGATTGTGTTTGATGGCGAAAAGAAATGACTGCGCTATTTGTTCTTGGACAGAAGGAGTTTTAGATGACCCCGCCATTGATGATATATTGAAGAAGAAGTTGATGAATTGTTGAGAGCTTTTTAATCGCCGAAATTCTTTGAGAGTATTTGCGAGTGGTAAAGAGATATGTAGCATCAAAAACCCTTTATACTGTTTGTTTGGTGACAAAAATTCGGAGAGAATTATATCGGGTACTGAAAAGTCACCTGTAAAAGTGTGAATGACAACTGTTACGTCAGAAACGTGCGTCAGGTGGCTGTAAAGTAAACATCTGTTCAAATTTTGCACATGCCCATTTGAATTTCTATCCATGAGAAATTGTCGCGTTAGCTTCACCCTTTCGCAGTTAAGTTGCATTCCACCTGTCACATATAGATACAAACTTTCGCTTTTAAGTAAACTTGGGTTGAACTGCGAAACTGAAAATAAATGTGAGTGCCATGAACCAGACTTTTAAAAATCACAATAATCTTCGTGCGAGAGTGTGTCAATGATAAAGAAATAAAGCAAGACATATGTGTGGGATATTAGTGATGTCTTGTTTAAGACACGAAACAATGGATCCATGGCAAAGATCTCTCCCTTCAAAGTCAAGAGAGACTAAGAAGTGTCTGCATGGTTCCTCATTGAATTACGATCACCTGTTTCTTAAGAAATAGTGAAAGGTGTCTTTTTAAGGTTTTATTGGGTGGTTCTATCTCACACGAAATTATGAAACTTGATATAAGTACGAAAGTTCGAATGAGTACTTGTTTAACTAGTGTAGTTATTTGAACAAGTAAGTTCTGGGAATTATTTTAAGTGAAATGGAATCGCATTGAAATCTCAAAAAGAATAAAAGTTGGATCTTTTGGGTAGAAACGTCTTAGGTCTAGAATATATCATTAAGATCTCGCAAAAGAAAAGAGATTTCTTGGCACATGCCACAAAAGTGGATTTTCGTTAATTCATTGCTGAAAAATCTAGAACATTTAATTGTTCATCCTTAATTCATAAAAGTGTAATGAATTTTGGCTTTCACTCAGTTCGTGGTTGAACGAAACTAAGATCATTAACACAGATGTTTTGTAACCATAAACCTCAGTGGTAATTTCTGAGAGTCTCAAGGGTTACAATCATGAATGCAACAGTGATGGAGAAATGTGGAGATGGTTCCAAAGAAACAAATGTACCTCTGCTATGTGAATTTTCAGATTGATTCGGAAGAAACGATTGTTAGAATGAATTCATTAAGGCTTCAACATAGAGTCGTCGAGGCTTCAGACAACATGCAACAGCATGCTTCTAGGGACACTTAGCTAGTACAAAGGTAAAGTGATTCATACCTACCCTATCATCTTAACTGAGAGTGATTACAAATGTGTTCCTTCAAGAGCTTCTCATTTATATAATATTTTTTATATTTTATATTTTTTTGAAAATGAAAGAAATAAAAAAAAAACACAAAGAAAATATTTTTTTGTTTTAGTTTTTCTGAAAAAGAAATAAAATAGAAAGAAATAAACTATCTTTGAATTTTGGGATTTTCTGAAAAAGAATTAAAAACAGAAGTAATTGAAAAACTAAACTATGATAAATGATAATATACATAATATAAAAAAGGATATATGAAGATCCGGACCGCGAATGTATAGCGGACTGCGAGTCACTACGAATGTTCACATCGATTCGCAGTGTCAAAGTAGACTGTGAATTACTACGAGCATTAACACCGATTCGCATCTCTAACTTTATGAATGCGAAAGTGGTTTCAGAACAAATTGACGAATTCTATTGAAGGTTGTTTCAAGAAAGGCTATCGTAAATATGTCAGCTAACTGATTAGTGTATCTTACGAAGTGTATTTCAACGTTTCCATCTTCCACATGACCCTTGACAAAATGATACCGCAATGCTATGTGCTTCGTATTTGAGTGTTGCACTGGATTGTGACAAATGTGAATTGCACTTTAGGAGTCACAATATAATGGGATTTCTTTCATATTCAGGTCAGAGTCACGAAGTTGACTTTGAATCCATATGACCTGGGAAGTGCATGAGGCAGCAATAATATATTCAACTTCAACTGTTGACAAGGAAACATATATTTGCAATTTGGATTGCCAACTGAAAAGTTTTCCATCAAGAAATTGACATCCTCCGGTTGTACTCTTCCTATCTAACCCGCATCCTCCAAGATTAGCATCCGAAAATTCTTATACAAAGAAACCAGATTTCGACGGGTACCATATTCTAAGTGAGAATGTTCGTTTTAGATACTGATATATGTTTTTGTAAGCCATCATGTGAGGTTCTTGAGGATTCGCTTGAAATATAGCACAATAGCAAACAGAAAACATGATATCTGGTCGACTAGCAGTTAGATACACTAAGGAACCTATCGTTTGATGATATAGTGTCATGTCTGCAGTCGGTTTATCCAGAGATGGAGTAAGTTTCGTACCGAATGCCATGGGAACTTTCACCTTTGATTCACCTACCATCCCAAACTTAGTAAGAAAATTCTTCGTGTAGGATTCCTGATTAATAATACCTTCCTGACTCTTTCTAATATTCAATCTAAGGAAAAAGTTAATTCAACCCATGGAGCTCATCTCAAATTTGATTTCCATTAACTTTCAGAATTCAACTGTTAAGCTTGGATTAGTTGATTCAAAGATAATATAGTCAACGTAGATTTGAACGATCATTAAGTGGTCACCCTCTTTCTTACGAAAACAGATTGGGTCAACCGAACCTTGTTTAAATTTAGATATTTTCAAGAAGCGAGTGAGAGTTTTTTTACTAGGCTCTTGTGGCTTGCTTCAGTCCATAAACTGCTTTGGCTAGGATGTAACAATGATTAGGATACTTCTCATTTACAAAACTAGGTGGTTGCTCCACATACACTATCTCTTCAAAATCCTCGTTCAAGAATGCACATTTGACATCCATGTGAAATACTTCAAAGTTCTTGTACACTGCATATGCCAAGAAGATTTGAAAAGATTCCAACCTTACAGCTGGTGTGAAGGTTTCTTTAAAGTTGATGCCTTCTTCCTGGCAATATCCCTTGACAATGAGTCTCACCTTATTTATGATCACATTACCTTCTTTATCCAGCTTGTTGCGAAACACCCATTTTAAACCAACAACTGATGCATCCACTGGTCAATCTTTCATTCGAACTCATTGAGCTCATCCTGCATTGCTTGCACCCAGTCAGAATGATCGAGAGCAACATTAACAGTTTTGGGTTCGATCTTTGATATGAATGAATTATACATATAAAATTCCAATTTAGAGAATAATGGAGTTTGTTTTGCTTTTTATTGGGATCTCATAAGAACTCCTGCATATGATTCACCAATGACTTGGGTTTTTGGATGATCTCTGGTCCATTTGGTCAGTGAAGGGTAATTTGTATCATAAGTTGGATCTAATTCAGCATTTACCTCTTCGAATTCTGATTATGCATCCGAATCATTATTCATATCTTTATTCTCCCCCTCAAATGATGATAGATCCTCCATTTCAAGAATTGGATTCTCCCCCTCAAATCGAATTTTGTGGATCATACTTGGAGAAGAATTTTACTTTTGGAGAGGTGAGTCAGGTGCAGAGGTTGATGATGAACCCTACCCCTATAGTGGAGTATTATCGGCTTGTGGTTCTTTCAGAATCTAGGGTTCTCTCTCTAGATCTTTCATAGCTTCATCGATTATTTTGTTCAAATCGCCCTCTTTATTGTCTGCTGCTTTGGACTCTGATGAAATTGCCTTTGATGGCTCATACAATAAAAGCATGAATTCATCATAAAGATTGGCCAGTGGAGTAGTTACTTGATTCACTTGTGGGAAGATTTCCTTTGATTGATTCATAGTCTGCTGATACCTCTTCAAAT